ATAAGTATGGACTAGAAAATAGATGTTGCATATATTTTGAATTTATTCCAAAGATAGCCTCACCAAATAGAAGACAATTTTGAAAATGATTGTGTTAGATGTAATTTGGGTCTGAAAAAAAGTGAAGGCATAATTTCCTGTGAGTTATGAACATGTGGTATTAGCCAACACCAAATATATTTTGTGGGAGGACATTGTCATTTTAAAGACTTTTGAACATATACTCTCTTCATGAATTTGAGCACTGATTCTATGTGTTAGGAATTTTGTTCAAATGGTTTAGAACATTTGGTGTTTGTTTATTGTTTATGTCCTGAAACCTTGAAAATTTTATTGTTTTAGGATAAACTGAAGCCTGTTGTTGAGCATCCAAATCGTGATTTCATTCTGACAGAATCAAGGATTGGCTCAGATATTTGGAGAAAAACAAAGATAGTATGTACTATTGGTCCATCTACAAGTTCACGTGAGATGATATGGAAATTGGCAGAGGCTGGAATGAATGTCGCCCGTTTAAATATGTCACACGGAGACCATGCTTCGCATCAGAAAACAATTGACTTGGTTAAAGAATACAATGCTCAATTTGAAGAAAAGGTCATAGCCATAATGCTGGACACCAAGGTAGGTTGGTTGCTAGCTCATTTACTGATTGCTGTTCGGTTACAGAAATATTTATTTGTGGAGTATCAGTTGGATATATAAATATAATTATACCATACATCATTTAAAAGGATTTATTTGTTTCAGTTGGATATCATTATTGAGGTTGTACTAAAAACAAAATGGTCTTGAGGTATTATATTACAGCTTGGATCTTTAGTCAGATAGTTCCACTGTCTTCTTTGTGGAAATGTTTTCCCAATAAGAGAATTTCTTTTTCTTTTTGGCTATTTATCTGTTCCATTTTTGAACGTGAGTGCAACCAAGTTAATGGTGAAACTTGAAATACTGATTGTGTTAGGATTTTATGTTTTGATCTAGCATGCAATAAAAACTGGTATACTCAACTTAGAGTACCATAAACATAGATACATATGTATATTATAGGCTTTGGGTTGAAAAATAATGTTATGTAACAAGTGGAGTTTAGTGTACTTGGGTTCAAAAGTAGAAAAAAGGGTTCAGTGAGCTTTCTGTAAACCACAAGATAAGCTTTTGGAGTTTGAAATATTCTGGACAAATATAATATTAAAGTTGAAAATTAGAGTTAAAGTCTTCATCATTCTTCTCTATTTCAACATTTAAGTTGAATTAAAACTATTAAAAATTTTAATAAAAAACTAATATATGTGTGTACTACATATATACTGACGTAGATATGTGTATATTGGAATATGTAATAAACAGCAAAATGGATGCAGAAAAATACATTGATGATGAAAACAGATCCAATCCATTATGTAGCATAGAACTGGTAGCTATCACAAGTCATGAAAATATTAGAATATTTCCAGATTGCTTCTGTTGTTTTACTTAGCATAAAATAGGTTATCTGAAAATTTATTTCAATAAAAAGGTTATCTGAAGATATACATGTATAAATCTATATATATGCATCCAGAAAAATCTTTTTTAATGCTTAAAACTGGTGCTGGAAACCTTTTCTTGTTGCATGTTGCAAAATAATGGTTTAAAGGCTCATATTACAAGCCGACAGCCATTGGAATTTCACAAGTCTGACAAATAGCACGTTCATTACTTATGAAAGCAACAACGAAAAATTTAGGTTGATGCACTTAATTTAGGCAGAGGATTATAGAATGTATTGAGAAATTGAGAAGAAATTATGATTATAAAAGAGATTAACAGGGCAGCTATTACACGACAACTTTCACCATTTTTTATAAAGACATTTTAGTTTTGAACAAAGAAGATGAATGCCACTTGGAGAACATGTGAGATTAAAACAAATACAACTTGAAAGTTATCAAAAACATTGTGGTTTTGTTACAATAAAAAAAAGAAGATTAAACAAATGTCATATGACAGTGTTTGAAGTTTTGAAGCTTTAGTATAACTAATATTTATAGTATAGATGTCTTGCTTAGTTGTTCTTCAAGTAATTCAGAAATTTCAATTTTTATTCTCTGGCATTGATAAAGATTCCTCATTCTTTGGAGTTAGCATACCAACTGATTATGGATGTCACATGTTAAGAAGCAATCCATAGGAAGAATGAATTGATAGTGTAGATGTTTTTTTTAATTGAGAGTTTAGATGTTTATTCTTTTAAAATGGTAGTTTTTTAATTAATATATTTAATATATTTGATATATTGCTAAGTTTTTCTCTCGATGTACTGTTATCAGCAGGCTTCATTCTTTTAAACATAATTTGATATTTGTTTTTCTTTGTTGTTCATGCAGGGTCCTGAGGTCCGAAGTGGAGATGTGCCTCAACCAATTTTGCTCAAAGAAGGTCAAGAATTCAATTTCACAATAAATAGAGGAGTCAGTTCAAGTGACACAGTCAGCGTAAACTATGATGATTTTGTGAATGATGTGGAGGTTGGAGACATACTATTGGTAGATGGTAAGAATAGCTGCCTCTAATTAGCAGCTCAGTTAACACTTAAATGTTTTCTGCAGTTTGGAGCTTTTACTATTTCGATTATATGCTTGATATTTTATTCTACTCAACCCAAGTAAGCTGTAACCCTAACCAGTTTAGTTCAGCTACATGAACCCATTGCATATGGGCCTGTATATGCAATCTGGTTCATTAATTCTTTATATTAAGTTTCTGTTTTATGAGTGACGCTTACCAGAGATTGATTTAGTGAGAACCAAAGTATGTTGCTATCCATGTGTCTAGAAACTAATAATTGTTAGAGTTGTTAGATTAGTTAATTGTTCCTTTGATTACTGAGAATTAGGGAAAGATAAGTTAAAGTCAGTTTGATTAGTGATGTTTTCAGCTACAAAAGCTGTATTTTGTAAGGGCTTTGACATCAAGGGAAAATATGAATAAAAGTTAAACTTTTCTCTCTGCAGATTTCTGCAAAGTTTTTATTCTTTCTTCACATCCTTCTTCCTTTATTTCTTCTCAAATCAGGTTACTGACAGAATGGTACACATAATTGCCATCAATGATCTTATCTTAGAAAGTAAAGGTTGTAGGTTTTGTCTTTTGTATTATTGACAGCAACCTGAAATATCTGTTCTGCCGTTTTCAACTCCTCTGTTATTGAATAGTGTTCCAATATGAGTCTTCTGGAGTATATTGAACTGTTCACTTGTAATTGGGAAAAAATACCGCTCTAAAATTTTTAGGTTATTGTTCATGAGATAAAACAGCTTGTCTCTATTTGTATGCTAGGTGGAATGATGTCATTAGCTGTGAAGTCAAAGACGAAGGATACAGTAAAATGTATAGTTATGGATGGTGGAGAGCTCAAGTCAAGGCGTCATCTGAATGTACGGGGCAAAAGTGCTACCCTGCCTTCAATAACAGGTTATTGATGTGCAAGTTTCTTTGTATGTTCTCTTTTACCACATAATATCTGATATTTTGTGGTCGATATGTGTCATATTTCAGAGAAAGATTGGGAAGATATCAAATTTGGGGTAGAAAACGAAGTTGATTTCTATGCTGTGTCTTTCGTGAAGGATGCTAAAGTTGTCCACGAGTTGAAAGATTATCTCAAACGTAAAGCGCTCAGCAGTATAATCATGCCATAAATATAAATACATAATGGTGAGTTTTTAACTTATCCTGTATCTACTCATATGTTTTGATTTTTTTCATGCAGGCTGCAATGCAGATATTCATGTGACTGTAAAAATTGAAAGTGCGGATTCTATACCAAATCTTCATTCGATACTCTCTGCATCTGATGGGGTCAGTTGAATGGATCACTTGCAATTTGTTTCATCCACCCTTTTCAAGCATTCAAGTTTTCAACTAAACCAAGGAGTGGAATTTAGTGTATGCATGTGTGTGTGTGTGTGTGTGAAAATATAAATTACAAGTGCTTATCACTTTTGTTTATAGTTATCATATCCAATTGCATCTTGCTTTGTTTCTGGGACACTACAGGCGATGGTTGCTCGTGGAGACCTTGGAGCTGAGCTTCCAATTGAAGAGGTCCCCTTGTTGCAGGTAATTTGATGTTATGAAGAGGTCCATTTATTCACACATCTTTAAAAGATTCCTCCTTAGCTTTTGATTTCACTAGTTATAATATTCTGTGTGAAATTTAATTTATTATCCTGAAAATTTTTGTTTATGAAATAAATTGTGATACATTTTGTCTCAAAGTAAGTAGATCAATTTCATTAAACAAAATGAATCTTATACCATGAGAACGAGCACTCAATTGCTATCAGTGGCGTGAATTGTTTTGAAATTTATAACTATTGAAGAGAAAGACCAAATGATGGAAAAGTAACATTTACAACCCAAAATAATATAGTTATGATTTAAATTATTAGTAATATGTTATGTTCCCTTATTAAGGATCGAGTCACCGAATAGTTAACAATAAAGTCGTATTCAAGTAAATGATTAACACTCTTGTTCCTATTGCGAGAACGATCTATTTTATAAAAATAAATTACAGTTTATCAAAGGAAGTTGCCATTTTGGATCTCATTAAAAAAAGTTTCAATCTTGTAGTTTAAAATAATATTCTAACTTGTTTTTATTAATATTAAGTATACCCCTTTATATAGATATTACAATTTTTGTTTAGAAATGTTAATTTAATTTGAAATCCTACATTATTTAGGAATCAAGTACTAATGGAAAATATATATTATTTAGAAATCTAATATTAATTAGAATTCTAATTATTTAGAAACCTAAAGTTAATTAGAATTCCAACTATTTAGGAATCTAATACTAATTAAGATTCCATATTTAATTGAACATCAATTTCTTATTCTTGTTGCACCTTCTATATTTGCATCCATAACATTACTCCCCTAGTTTTCAAGTTTGTCCTCAAGTTTGAAGTGTGGATATAGCTGCCTTATTGGTCTTTTGTTATTGTTCAGGACCAATGTTACATTCAATCTCGAGCCAAAACAGTTGTTTGCATTGGTGATCCGGAACAAATAGCTCATCATAGTTATAACACAACCCCTAATCTCCTTTATATCGCAATTGTAGTACCAAAATTGAGCATCGCCTAACCAGTGGAAGGCTACCATTCCAACCTTCGTTTTTTGTCTTTTTTTTTTATTAATAAAAAATTGTTCGAAACGATGGAATCAAGCCAACTGGTTGTTCGATCTATCGTAGATGAGAAAATCAAGCTTTGTATAACGAGAAATCCATCTATTGTTATGGGAACTGATGTTGGATTCTTTGCGTTTTGGTTTAGTGTGCTGCCTTTCCCCTCCCTAATTCTGATTTGATCCACCGTTATCAGTTTCTACGTTATTAATTTCTTCTTTTTCTTGGACTTGGGCGGATTGGTTGAGAAGAAGTTCTAATTACTGTATGATTTGGCGCAAACTCTCTTGCAGCTTCAGAAGCCGTCATATGAGATTTTAGATTCTACAACTCTTCGCGTAAATTTTGGTCACCCATGGTGCCTTACTCTGATACCAAATTGTTATGTTTCCTGATTAAAAATCAAGTCACTGGACGGTTAACAATAAAGTCGTATTCAAGTAAAGGGTTTAACACCCTTGTTCTTATTGCGAGAGTAACTTCTTTTGTGAAAATAAATTATAGCTCATCAAAGGGAGTTGCTATCTTGGATCTCGTTAAAGAGAGCTCCAATCTTGTAATTTAAAATAATATTCTGACTTGTTTTTATTAATATCAAGCGTACCCCTTTATGTAAGATTACAATTCGTATTTAGAAATGTTAATTTAATTTGGAATCTAAATTTAATTAGGAATACTTTACTAAAATATTAGAAATCCTACACTATTTAGGAACCAAATATTAATGGAAAATATATATATTATTTAGGAATCTAATATTAATTAGAATTCCAATTATTTAAGAATTTAATACTAATTAGAATTTTAAATATTTAGAAATTTAATATTAATTAAGATTTCATATTTAATTGAATGTCAATTTCTTATTCTTGCTGCGCCTTTTATATTTGCATCCATAACATAATATGAGGCTTACAGATAATGGATTGGAGATATCTTGGATGTTCAATAGTGGATCAAGTTGCATCTTAATTTCCTTGTGGAATCTTTTTTGTTTTGTCATAATTTGTATGAGCATGGTGACTTTTGTTACTACCCGGATAAGTTTAAAAACTCCTGAATTTCTTATTTTCTTTGCGTTCTTTGTGCCATGTTATAATTCCCACAGGAGGATATCATAAGAAGATGTCGCAGTATGCATAAGCCAGTAATTGTTGCAACAAACATGCTAGAAAGCATGATTAATCATCCTACACCTACTAGGGCTGAAGTATCTGACATTGCCATTGCTGTGCGAGAAGGTGCTGATGCGGTCATGCTTTCTGGTGAAACTGCACATGGAAAGTAAGTTTTGAATTTTTTTCTTTTGTGGGTTGAATTTCCGAATGTTTTCTATATGAGCATATTTTTTCTTTTGAGGACCTTCTCTATCGAGTATTTTGGTTCAAGTGACAGTGTGTATATTCTCAGTAATGTGAGTTTAGTCAAATAGTTAAACTCATGTTTGGTTCAAGATATGATAAAATTACAGTTAGCAAATGTAATCACCTAAGGGAGTTTATTCCTGGAAGTGAATTTCAGATATCCACATCCAAGAATGGATTTTTTAGGTTTATGTAAGCTCTCTCTCTCTTTTTGAGAGAAAAAGGAAATCTCATTAACAAGGCACCGAGGAGGTGCTGCCAGTAGATACAAAGGAATGACTTTTCTTCGTATTAAAATGTGTTATATGCTAGTTTATTCAAATATCTAATTTGCATATACTGGATGGATTTTTAGAAGACGATATGGACTTTTGACTAAGGATTATATATTAATGGATAGGAACCCTTGCTGCTTTATGATTGTTCATGCAATCAACTAAATTGCCATCACATATGATTAGTGAATATTAATGCTACAGAATTATTGTGATTACCTTTTTTCATTAATTAAAATTTGTAAAGATAAGGAAGTAACGTGGTTCCTCCTTATTTCTTTGGATTTTTGTAATTAAGAAAGCTAAAATTATAAATATATTTAGATATTCCAGCTAACCAAGATAACCTCTAGAAACCTCCTTAGCTCTTGGCCATAGAAATCTCTCATCATACTCTCTAGCGTCAGCCACTTCCACCTGGAAACAGAGAAATATAGTATGGAGGGATGCTAGACAAACAAGTCTGAATGAGTGTGAATCGGCCCCTAGAGAAAATAAGGCACCTTTCTAACGATTTAGATGTTTAGAAGTACATGCCAAAGATCCAAGAAAGATGTAGATCAAGGATTACCACCAACAAAAACTCCCAAATAGGTAAAATGCTTAGTCATGATTGAACCCTGACAAGCTGAAGGTCCAAGAAAGATGTAGATCAACAATTACCACCAACGAAAACTTCCAAATAAGTAAAATGCTAAATTATGATAGAATTCCAACAAGCCAAATGTCCAAGAAAGATGTAGATCAAGGATTATATCTCCAACTAAAACTCTCAAATAAGTAAACGCTAAGTCACGATAGAATCCCAATAGAATCAACCAGACACCTAACAACCTGATTGTCAATATTGATTCGAGCTAAAGATACTCTTGTCTAAGATTATTTTCAATCCAAATTGATCTCAAACATTTGAAATATAATATGCATTTATTATTTTTCTTATTTGATTGTAATTAGTGCCTACATAAAGCTCGCTAACATAGATGTTAGTAGACAGTGTAGAATTTAGAACTCCATACTAGGGTTTTATTCTCTATTCTATCTATGTCGAGTTTTCTCTGATTCCCATTTGTAAATTCCCATTCTTATTTTTCTGGCACCCCTCAGTGCCCTTAATACATTCTCACTTTCTTCTTAAAGACAAGCTAAAACTATACCAATCTAACTTCTTTCATTCTGAATCAGTTTTGACTTGTGAGGTTAGGGTTGTCCATTATTTAAGTATTACTGTTATTTTTGGTGGTTGTTATTGTTAATTAACTATTTTTTTGGATCAGTCTATTTGTTTAAGGTTCTTTGCATTGTGTGGATACGTTAACATTGACAGGGTTGAAGTTAGAGTGTGACAATTCAATGGGTTGGTAGTCTTGCATGGTTACCTATTAATTAGTCAAGCTTTGATATGATAGTTGTTGAAATGCTCAAATCAATAATCGATAATGCGCCTAACTGACACATTTTCTCTTTTACTGCGATGTAGAATTAGTAGGTGTTGTCCTGAAAACTTATAGTAGATGAAAGTTCTTGATTATTTTTGAACCTTGGAAAGTTACTCTTTCAAACTTTGCTATAATTTCAATCACATCAGGTACCCATTGAAAGCTGTTAAAGTTATGCATACCGTGGCATTGAGGACTGAGGCAAGTTTACCGGTTAGCACTGTGCCTCCAATCCATGCTAGCGCTTACAAGGTATGAGACTCTTAAAACTTGAAGTGGTTTCCTCTCTCTCTCTCTCTCTCTCTCTCTCTCTTCGTTGTAATATATGTAATTCTGGCCTCTGGGCCTTTTTGGGTGTTATGGAAGTTTTTTTTAATATGAATATTTAAAATACCACTTCTTTGATGGTTTTGATTCCTGATGCTAAATGTTGCTATTTCCCTAACCGCTAATTATCAAATTTCGTTTTACTGTTTCTTTCATAATCTGACTACTGCAAGGGCATTCTTCTGCAGAGCAATATGGGTGAAATGTTTGCTTTCCATTCTACGATTATGGCTAACACGCTTCATACACCAATTATTGTGTTCACGAGAACTGGATCAATGGCTATACTTTTAAGTCATTATCGACCTTCCTCTACCATCTTTGCTTTTACAAATGAGTGAGTTTAGTGCGACCATAACTCGCTTTTCTTTTTTCCCTTTCTAAGATATATCTAAATTTGGTTTTGAGATAAACTATGCTAGTGACACATGAACTTCGTATCAACAGGATAGGGACCTTAGTATTTGAACTTGGTGACTGACGGATGTTGGACTTTTCATTTTGTGCAATAAGCCGCCTTGTTATCTTTAAGTTTCAATCTGGTTTTTGCAGTTCGTAAACGTTCAGTTTGTAATTTGTACCTAGGCATATGAAACATTGCAAAAATTGGAAGTTATGTATTGCGGTCACTTGATTGTAGTGTTAGGGTTTTAAGTAATGCTAAAAATTTATGGATTGCATAGGAAATAATTCTCTTACTTTCTATATGCCGTTCACTTAAGAAAAGGATGTATGTTGCTGTTAAATATGATATAATGGCCTAGCAATGATTTACAAGACAATGGAATTAAGCAACAAAACATAGAGAAACTCACAATAGGAATTAGCAACATAGAAGTCTGTCAATGGAGATAGTTTCAACCAGTTTGTGATAGCATCAAGTCTCTATGCTTAATTTCATGACACTTTTTTATGCTCAACAGGAAAAGAATTAAGCAGAGATTGGCACTTTATCAAGGAGTCATGCCCATATATATGCAATTCTCAGATGATGCCGAGGAGACTTTTTCCCGAGCTGTCAAGCTATTAAGGGTATCATTTCTTGAAAATCTTTACCACACACATGACACGCCTACCTTTAAGAAAAAAAAAAGCAATGAAGAGAAAAGAGAGATTATTACATTGTTTCACATGCTTAACAACTTTTACCTTTTTCCTATTAATGTTTCAGGATAAGAATCTATCGAACATAGGGGAGTATGTTACTCTAGTACAAAGTGGAGCACAACCAATCTGGCGCGAAGAATCTACTCACCACATCCAAGTTCGTAAGGTCCAAGGCTGATCTTCCAGTTTCCAAGAGGCTTTTATTTCCAACAAAATTAAATATTCTTTTATTTTAGTTTCTAATAATTTTATAACTTGATTTTCCCAAGCTTGCTTTAGATTTTTCCTTCCATTTTAAATGAGTTAGTTGGCATATTTTTATATAAAAAATTAATTTAATTTATAAAATCTTTTGGATGTTAGGACTATGAGGTCAATGACTATTTCTTTCTGCATGTAGAAGTTAAATGCTAAACTTTCTCTTTTGTACTGCATTTGCTTTGACACAGATTTTCCCTGTACATAGCAAAGTTTATTTGTTCGATAAATATAACGGTCAGTTCTTATCATCACAACTTACGTTTATTGTCTTTATGTTTCTCTCTAATAGATGTTCATTGTAGTGTCATTCAAGCTTTATTCTCACTCAGTTTATTCAGTAGTTGAAAATATATTGTCATTTATATTGTAATAGCTATGTGTATGCATAGTTTGCAGAGTAAATTCCAAAGGAGATATTTTGACAATTGAGGTATTTTTGGGTTGTGGCTAGATTACACTTGGGAATTTCTTTGTCAAAAGGAAGTATGTTATAGATTTGTTGCCTAAAGAACCTAACTTCTTGTGGTTCATTATCAAATCCAGTTTGAATCAGAATATCAGTTGGAAACGTGAACTACTTACACAGTTCCTAGACCTGATATTTTATTTTCCAAGAAGTGTGGTTAGTTTCTTTATGCTCCAAGCTTCCATTTATTGGACATCGAGGCGTTGTTTATTTATATTTGAGGTATCTCATAGGTGAGAGAATACTTGGTACGACCAGAAAAATGCTGATAAGGTATTAGTATTTGCTATTAGTGAAAGAAACAACTGCGGTAACTAATAAGATTTATGATTATGCCACAGATAATTAAAAGCAAATAGTGTCTACAGGAATATGTTCGAAGTCGAGGTTTGTTGTGTAAGAGTTTTGGCCAATATTAAGGTAACGGGCTCTATCTTGACTGCTTAAAAATATGATTTTTATTGTTATTAATAGGTTAGAAGTAAAATATTCTAAATGCAATAAGTCTGACTAAGAAAAATTAATTAGGAGAATGCATGCTCACTTAATGAAACTATTCTTTGTTACCAATATGGTTTGTTTAATAGAATTCACCAGTATATTATCTTATTATAATTTGTATTTATGTTATTGATAAATTTGTTATAAAATAAAATTCATCGATAAAAAGAATATAAGCTGTGATATTTGGTTTTTGAATCTCTTATCCTATAACAAGGAATATACAGTTTAAAGTTGGAATCCATGAATAGATAAAATTATTAACACGTAAACCAAGAGATGGTTTGTGGAAGTTTCCCTAACTTGATATTAATCCAAATTTTACTCTAATTTAATTTTCCTGATAATCTGCACAAATTACATGATACAGAGCTTAAAAAAGAAAAAACCGAGACTGTGTAAGCTGCAGGGTAAAACATTAATTTTCTTATTTTACCAAGAAAAAAACCTTTTCCACTCATTCTCAGCCACAACAATCTTCTTATTTTTATATGGTGAGGAAACTCTATATATATATATATATATATAGATTTTGACACGTCTTTCTTCAGTCTCTCCAGTTTATATGTTTCATTAGATACATGATGATCAGACCTGTAGTTGTTGCTGTTGTTCATCTTCTCCGCACTTGCTCTCCAATTTGATACATTTATACCACTTGGCACATACAATATACACTAGAAAATCTACTGTTGTCAAGGCAGCCAATAGGAAGTAAAACCTATCTAGATGACCTCTGTTCAAGTTTCCGGGTATCCATCCCGCCATGTGATCTTCAGTTGAGATCTTCATCACCATTGTCACCAGCAAGCTACTCACGTAGTTTCCCAGAGAGATAGATGTCATGCACAGTGCACTCCCGAAGCTCTTCAACCCATCTGGGGTTTGAGCATTGAAGAATTCCAGTTGACCCACGTACATGAAAACCTCTGATGCTCCAATGAATGCGTACTGAGGAATCTGCCAGAAGATGCTCAATGAGCTTGACCCTTCGCAGTGGAGGCAATCGGAATTTGCGTACTTGAGTCTGTAGCACTCCACGATTCCTGCAGAAACCATGGCTAAGATTGCTATGACAAGACCTATTCCCATTCGTTGAAGTTCTGTAAGTCCTTTTGAGCCCTTCTTTCTTGTTCTGCTCACTAATGGGTCGAGAACTCGACGGTAGAGGAAGATAAAGATCGCCACGCTGAGAATGTCGAAGCTGGACATACTTGCGGGTGGGATTCGGAAGTTTGAGACTGTGATTTTCATGGCAGCACCTTGTTCCACGAACAGAGAAGCCATTTGAGTGAAGACAACGGAGTAAATTATAGTGCAGAGCCAAATTGGAAGCAGTCTCAATATACATTTAACTTCTTCCACTTGTGTGATTGGACAGAGACGCCATGGGTTTGGATGGATTTGTCTTTGATCATCCATATCTCTTGAAGAAATAAAAGCTGCTCTGTCCAAAAACCTGCATACCCAGATGAAGATCAATCAGAATCTATCTTCCCACATGGTGTACTTAATTAATCTTGGAATTTCTGAAATGGTTTCAGGATCATGATGTGATATACTTACTTGAATCCATGGGTGTGGAGTATCTTTCTGTTGCCATTCATAGAGCAGTCATTTGCATCAAGATCATACAACTCTTGTTCTTCTTCCGGTATCTCAATTTTCCATTTATTGATTGCAGAAACCAAGACTTGGCAAAATCTGAAGAAAGGGTTTCCACTGGGCCTGAAGTGCCTGTATCTAGGGATTCCCCCAAGAAAGAGGACTAATGCCAAGAAAGCAGAAGCTGTAGATGCCCAAAATCCAAGTGCCCACATCCCCTCATCCTCAAAGTAAACCAAGATAGTGTTGGAGAAGAGTTCTCCAAGGTTTAAAGCTAGGTAGAAGTAACTGAAAAATGCCACCTTTGAATGCCCTTCCCTAGGGTGCTCTTCATCAAACTGATCAGCCCCAAAGGTGGCAATATTTGGCTGGTACCCTCCATTTCCTAAGGCAACCAGATAGATAGAGATGTAAAATAAACCAATCTCCATGTTTGAATGACCACCACAGGGGGTTTGTTCATCTCCGCAGCCTTTGGGTCTGATCAAGAACAGGTATGATGATAGTGATAGGGATGCCAGACCCTGTAATGAACCAGTCATTTACTTGGACCCAATATGAAACGAACAAATATTTCTCTGTTGTAAACATTACTATCACTAACGTATACATATAGAATATATGCTTACAATGACAAAGATGACTTGGAAGATTGCACAAGTTTTGTATCTTCCCCAGTAGGAATCACTGAGAAAAGCGCCGACAAGAGAGAAAATATAAACAGTTCCAGTCCACTTGCTGACATTATTAGCAGCATCAGCATTGTTCTGTTGGAGTACCCTTGTCAAAAACAGCACCAGGTTCACTCCAACTCCAAAGAATGCAAGTGTTGCCAACCCTTGGTTCACTGTTCCATGGTTAATTACTCTCTATCATTTTCCAGAAAGATGCTTACAGTTGATACGTATATGTATTAATTAGAATATGTATAATTTAACAACTTGAACTGTCCATGAACATGGTGAGAAACATGCAGACCTTCATAGCTGTTTGTGTGCAGATAGATAAGTAGAAATAAAAGCATTATTAATTCCACTACTCAAAAAGTAGAAGTGAGCTGATGGAAGGGGGAAGAATTTACCACCAAAGTGGATTTGGTAAACATCTTTTTAGTTTCCTTCCACTAAATTTGGTATCCATAAGTAGTGATTTTCGTGTCATAACCCTTTTCTTTTCTTAATTTCCCATACTTACATATAAATACACACAAAAACATATATGTAAATTTTGTATGGTTTTATATAGAATACAAAAAGTTTTGGGTATCATAATGTGGTGACCTAATTAATTGATAAAAAGTGACAGAACTGAAGTTAGAAAAAGCTCTTCTATTTTCTTTTCTTTTCTTTTATTATAAATTTCAGCCTCCAGAAAAAAAAAAAAAAAAAGGTGTCCTACTAAATTTTGTTTTATTGAAATGTCATACTGTCTCTCTACTTTTATCTTTCTTTAAAATAGTAAACCTTTAATTAGTGGATTACAAAAGGCATGTTTGAATTATTATTATTATTATTATTTTTAGGTTTTCTATTTATAAAATTCTCTGGCTATTGTTTTCTTGAACTAACCCTAATTTCTCCTATCAAATCAACTTAATAATTTTTTATCCAATAGTTATTAAAAATCATGGATTTTTATTAAAAATTATATTATAATTAATACACATATCTTATTTAATTAATAAAAAATATATATTTTCATTCAAAAATCAACATAATCATCTGGGAAAGAGCTTAATAACTTCAATAATTTAGGTGACGAAAGAATTATTGGCTGCCTTTCCTTTATAACATTAAAGATGACACGTGGAAGAAACCCAGTTCATGCAACCAGGTCTTGTTTACGTGTCAAACAAGTCTCACCCTTCACCATGCATTTCCCAACACACACTCCTCATAGTAAATTTTTTTACTAAATTTAAAAAATAAATTAAGAAAAAACTCTCCCCCTTTCTCTCTTTTATCTTCTTTTTCTTTTTTTAATCGGTAAACTGTCTGTTTCTGTTCGAAGCACATGTGTTTCTCTGACTAAGAGTCGAATATGGTGGCTACTATTACAGTTTTGCCCAGAGTGGGACACGGGTTCGACACTTGGAACTTCTTCACCTCCAAGTGTCGTATACATATACCGTCGTCTCTCTAATTATCTTCTTCTCAAAAAGAAAATATAACTCGAGAGAATTTTTTCCTAGCCGATGATAACTTATCTATGGCGGCCCCACCTCAGAGCTCGCAAGAAGAAAAGTCCCTTGGCAGCTCACAGATCTTTACCCCCCGATCTTTCTCAAGTCTTTTATATATCTACATATCACTACACTATATATAGGTAGTGGTGCGTGTTTGTAGGTATTATTCATTGGCATATATATATATATATGTGTATATACTGTAATAAGTTGGGCCGAGCAACAAGGTAATTAGAGAAAGGTGGGAAACGTGAATCCATTACGTATCCATGAAGCCAGGAGTCATTGAGAAAGTGATTACGACTGTTTTAATTTCTCAAAGAAGGAAAAATCTAAAAGAAAAATGAATGGTAAGAGGAAGTGTAGATGGTGCTTTTATGTATCTATCTATCTCTCTCTCTCTCTCTCTCTATACATATGTATGTATGTATTTAGGAGAGCTCAACTCAAGTCATAAAGGAGTTTAATTTTAATGGGACATGAACTACTTTAAATCCACTAGAAAAAAAATTTAATAAAATAAATGTGAAGTAATATGAAATGGGTTTAACTAGCTTATTCATCATGATGAGGATTTCTCCCTTTATTTTGAGATTAATTTAGGCATGGAGCTTACAGAGTATGATAAACCCAGCAACCCAATTTCCAGATTTTCCTCTGATTGCAGGTCGACCCTGAAAATCAACACTTCCATCTTGAGTGCGTGACTCTTCCTCCTCCTTTAACTTGCCCTGCATATTCATGTTTTCCAACCCAAAAGAGAAAAAGCCAACTTTATATGAGCATCGCTATAGTTATACACTATATACCCATATGAACAACGGATTAAAAATGTATAAGTAGTAGCTAAGCTATCTTCAAAATATTGAAAAGTAAAGAGAAGAAATACAGGGGGGAGGAGTGGTGGGACTGGAATAAAGATATTTTTTTGTCAGTTTATGAGTTGGATTTTGCAAATGATGGTTTATATGTATATATACACATCAGACTTTACCTTACTAAGAATATCTAAGCTAAGGCAAGCCATTGATTGTAGTGTTGAGCAGTTTCAGTCTGTAACATATAATGTTGGAGAGAAAAGTAAGAGGAAGAGAAAAGCTGGCGGAGGAAGAAGAAGAAGGAGAAGACGTTGATGCAAAGTGAGAGAAGGCAGGGGTTGTGAATAAATAGGCAGAGAGGAGATGAAATGGACGGTGGAGATGTATGGATAAAAGAGAATAGATGCTCACATGGCAAAATCATCCAGATTTGTTCAAGATTCAACTTTTTAATTACACTAGAAAAAAATTATGTACATATATATATATATATATACACACACACACATATATTCACATAGAGCTGGACTATGGTGATATTTGCTTGGGTATGTGGAGTTTTAAAAAAATTTTCTGGGAGGGATATAATATTTTTCTTTGCTTTTCTGTTAAAAAAAGTGTAGAGATATATAAACAGATATAATATATACATATATATATATGTATATATGCATATAGAGATAATGGGTCGTTTGTATAAGAATCCAAATATACATGTGTGTATGTGGGTGTGTTTGGCTTGACACGATGGGATTGAGACAGTACCTTAAATGGCTTCCTAGAATTTTGAGTGACTGACTTGCTACATAAAGATACCCTTTACAAATTTGACAAGTCGGACTCCAGGGATTTATTGCAATATGTACACATAGACTGTGAACTTTTAGTCACTTATTTACATTATGCATTTTTGCAAACTCCTCTAATACATATTCTAGCTTTCTTTTAAATATATTATTTTGTGTACTGTTAATTCAACTAATAATTTTAATTACCTATTATGTTTTATGTAAAAGTACATTTACAAGTGACATGATAAGTGGTAAACAATCATGCTATATGAGAGGTAAATATGAAGATTGGTTATTATATATCTCTTATTAAAATATACCACTTATCAACTCTCAAATAATATTTACTGTTGTAATAATTAATTTCAAATAAACAATCACGCGAAATTAAAAATGATATAAGATTTGTGTGA